GGGGCTCGCGGAGCTTTGTAACTGGGTGGACCTCATTTACCTCAGGTCGTTAACCCCACTGAGCCGCTTGGGGCAATTGTAACTACTTATAAGATAGGCTTGGCCATAAATAACCCACCTTGGCATCAGCTCATGCCCCCCCTTCATCCCCTTGTCGAATAAGGAACAACTGTATAAACATAACATCTCGGAACTCCGCGTGGATTTCAGGCGCCGCCTCTGGCGCGCTCCGCGCGCCAGAGGGGGTTCCAGCCACGATCCAAGACATTCACCAGGACCTCCGAGAAACTAAGTTCATGCTGTTTCTGATCCCAATTCCGTAGCACCTCCCGTGCCAGTTCCAGCAGGATGCTTCGGTAGCAGACCATGGAATCTTTTGTGTGTCCTCACAACTCCATGGAGTTCTCAGGGTACTTGTTCGGGCTTGCCCTGGTCAGGCTGTGTATCACTGTCGTTTGATTCTCCGCCCATGCGGTAGTCATCACCTGGTCTGGTGTCGACTCCCAGGGACGCGTCTACCTGGTCTGCCCTCCCTCCTCCATCCTCCTCCTCCTCCTCCTCCTTCCACCTCCTCCTCCTCCTCCTCCTCCTCCTCCTTCTCGGTCTGCCCTCTTCCTTAGCTGGCCGTTCTTCAACGACCTCGACTTCCTGCTGTGCTTGCACGCCACCGGCACCCGCACACGGGCTCCATGCTCCGAGCGCGGTTTCCCTCCCCCGCCCTGGGCCTCCCCGCCCACGCGTTCTCGCCTCGGCGAGAGGCCCGTGGGAGGCCTCAGGCTGGGCACGGTGGAGCTGTTTCGGAGGATGCCACCCCGTCGGTTTTGGATTCCGCCCCCCCTGGCCTGTGCCAGGTCGGCGGCGCGCTCCTGCGGGACGGAGTTCGCGCATGTTCTCGTTTAGTGGGAGAGGGTGCACCTGTCGCGAAAATCCCCCTCGATGGTGCACCCCTCCCGTCAGTTTTGTTTTGGGCTGGTTCCTTCCTCTTCGGACGGTCCTCCTTGGAGTCGTCTCATCTCATCTCATCCTGTGCCCCAAATCGTCTGCCACTGCGCCCCTGTGCTTTCTTGAACGCTTCTTGGAGCCAAGTCGCCTGACCAACAAAAAGTGTGTCCTCGCAATTCCGTCTGTGAGTGCGTCAGCGTCGACTAGCGTCTGACAGTCGGTGAGACAGCCGATCTAACGTCGACTCGCCTCGATTTCGCGTCGGTGAGCGTCGACTTAGCGTCGAGCGAGCGTCGAATTGGCGCCGATTAGCGGCGATTCGCGAGAGCCAGCAAGATGGCATGGGAGGCCCCCGTGAGTTGCCACCGATGGACGCACAGCAGCCGTGAACCTCACGCGGGAGGCTCCGGCACTCGCAGAGGGCGACGGCGGCGCGCCGCCGGCGGGCGCCACGGCGCTCGGCGCCTGCGCGCCTCCGCCGCGGGAGGGGCTCGGCCCCCTCTGGGCGCGCAGGCCCCTGCCTCGGTACAGTCAAGACGCTGAAATAAGCAACAGTTTGGGCACGACAGGAGCTCGATGTCATTTTGTGGTTGTCCCTCTAGCCTTCCTCGTGCACGCTGGCGCTTTTGGGGCCAGAAAAGAGCTTCGTTCCTTATTCACCGTTCCTTGTTTCAGCGGTCCGACTGTAGCACATCATGGGAGCCCTGCCCATCGGTCGTTGAAAGTAGTTTTTTTTGAGTCCCGTATTCCAATCTACTTCAAGCGCCTTCCTACTTCAATGATCGAGCGGCTTCACCTTTTCCGTTCTCCCAAGGGGGCAGACGGAGCCCAATCTACTTTCAACGTCTTCCTACTTCATGTTTCTACCCACTTCTTCCGACCGATGGGTGCGTGTCTTTGCGGCGGCAAAATCCGATCCCTATCCTCGCGGATCAACGGTTCAGGCAGCTCGATTGGCAGCTGGAGTCGGGTTTGGACTTTGTCGAACACGTGGCGATATCAGAGCTCTATCCCCCGCCTCCCGTCGATTCGGGAGAATCGGTGGTTGGCGGGGGTAGGATTCGGATGTTGCCACGTATCCCCGTCAGTCCGTCTTCAGAGTGCACTAGCGTGCGCGAGCGTCAGGTCGTCGATGGGAACGCGCCGATTTAGCGTCGATTTCCGTCAAATAGCGTCGATTAGCGTCGACTTGCACCGATTAGCGTCGATTCGCATCGAATAGCGTCGACTCGCAAGTGGCAACACAAGATGGCATGGGAAACCCACAGAAGTTGCCGCCGAACCCTGCGACAGGGGGCGGCGGCGACGAGACCCCCAGATCTGCGCGTTGCCACAAAACTCGCGCACACGCCGGATCTACGGCTCCCCAATCCATGTCCGCGCGCGCCCGAACGACGCCGGCGACGGCGAGCAGACGTTTGCGACCGCGGCGTCGGCTGCGGCGGCGGCGGCGGCGACGAGGGCGTCGGCAACGGCGGTGACGTCGCACTGCTCGCCGGAGCTCTGCCCAGCGGCCGGCGGCCGCGCGGGCCCCTTCGGAGGACGAGCGGGACGGGCC